TAAGCAGTGTTAAAATATCTGCTCTTTGGTATATCAACTCCATCTTTTGTCCTTTCATTGGTATAATATGCCAAAGAGATGAGCAAATACTTTAAGTTTCTTTTCATTTAAATTTATACATTATCAATACTATTTCTATAGTTATGTCTATATTATTTCATGAGAATATGTATGTACTTCTATAATCACATAAAGTACATTCACTTATAGCTTTTTAGTGGGATGTATATATGTATATGTGAACACAGAATTATGTATTTGGCACTCTGCTTCTATGTCTGTAGGCAGGCATTTTTTAATAATTAGAAAAATATGTTAAAAACAGTTACTATAAGTCTGTTATTGCTGTGTTAATATGTTTATTCTTAATTCTGCCTTCCAAAATTTAAGTTAGCTTATAAAAATATTTAAATTTGACAAGGTAACTTAAATTAGAAAGTTTGCAAAAGGAAAAAGAAAAAGGTAGGTATAAATTAAAATCAGAACTAAAGTGACAAAATGAAAAAGTACAAATATGTATATTTTTCCCAGCTCTGAAAGATCTCTATATTAGCCCATTTCTTCTATCCATTCTCTTTGGTTTTTATATTCTAACATCTTTGCCAGTAGTAAAAATAGCTATTGTGACCACTCTAAACCACTCACCCCATCATCCCAAGAACTGACAATGACAAATGCAAGTTGTGTGATAGTATGTGATACTAAACTTCTTGAAGGAAGCACTGCAGACTGCAGCAGTAATGACCTTTCTGCCTAACGATGCCAGGTATGGTGTGGTACAAAACTCATGGACTCTGACTCAACCCTGAGAGTCATTTCAGAGTGGCCAGCATAGTTTTAAAACAAAGCTTATTAGAGAAAGAAGAGGGGAAAGTTAGAGGGACATGCTAGAGGTGGCATGGGCAAGAAAAAACTGCACTTTTTGCTTTTGACAAAAAGTGCAGTTTCACAGTGATTGATGTGATAAAGAGGGTAGAGCCCAGGTAACTGCTGCTGCAGAGAGATGGACATCTCTGTGCCTTCATTGGGAGGAGGGGTGGAATGCTTGGTCTTTTCCAGAACATGCATTTTGTCTTTGTAGAGACTTACCAGACTTTTGAATACACAAACTAAAAAGATGGTCTTATTATCATGTGTATGGCTTTGGTTAGTTAAGGGGTGATATTCAGCTTCTACCTTCAACAGGGAACCTGAAAGATCTTTAGTGATTATTATAGTAAACCATGAATTGAAAGGTTAAGCTGTCTTATTCTTACATCTGATGAGATTTTCTTTTGATTGGCTGAGGGGATAGAGTAGGCTGGAAGGTCCACATTCCAACTAGGCCTACAGTAAAAATGTAAGAAAAATTTCTGAAAGCTTTCTAAAACCTGCCTACAAGATGTTTATCTATCTATACCTAACCTGAACTAGCTACCCTGCCTCACCATGACATACCGTGACTTTAGCTCTAAGTTTTCCATTCACACAATTCGTAAAGTTCATTTGAGGAAGAGAAGTTGGTTGTTCAGGTGAAATGTAACTATTCTTAGAAGAAGGAAGCCAAAGAGTTTCTCCCAAGAGCTTTAATAAAAAGGATATTATGTAGAGAACATTGTCTTCAACATTCTTAAAATAGACAACTTAACCTATTTTATAGATTGATAACATAATAACAAAATTCAATTCAGAACTTTGTTTCTGAGATCTGTTTGAAATGTGTTTAGTATATCTGTAAGAGTTAGTGAACTGCATATACTCAAAGCAGTTCTCCGTTTTTTTCTGATCTAAGCTTTAATAACTATTGACTACTATGGGAGCCATGGCCACTGGCCCCCTAAACGTTTGCTGAAAAAAATTACTGGCATGAGGCAAGATTGATTAATAGGAGAAAAGACATACAAATTGAATTTAACGTGTATACATAGGAACCTTCAGAGTGAAAACCCAACTTCCCAATGAGTTATAGAAACTTAAGTACCATCTTGAGGTAACAGGAAGAATGAGGGCTTCTGTTCTGGTAAAACAGGAGAGGGAGAGAAAGGGGGAGGAACAGGAATTCTATTGGGGGCAACACATGACTGGGAGAATGAATGGATACAGAAACAGAATGACCTGCAAATAGTTATCTGTAGACTTTGAATGAACCTGAGAGACAGACATTATACTTGTAAGAGGGTCTACTCATGTGGTCTTACCTTGCTTTTCTTTTCTGCAATAGATAATGAATAGCAGGGAGGGGAAGCCGCTTCTCTGTATCTAAACATAGGCAGCAGGTCAGAGAGACCTTGTGTCAAAAAGCCATATTTTGGGGTAAATTTACCTATACCCCTTCACTGTCAGTGTGCTTGACATTATTCTTCCTCGCTAATGGCATGAAGCCTGTTAATAGCTTTTTGGCAGTTGAATACAAATCCATTTCCTTAAATAGGTGGCGGAGGGTGAGTTAGCACCTTGTTGTTAATAGTGCATGAGAAAAAGGATGTTCTGCCCCCTTTTTAGGTCAGTCGGTGCTCAGGATTCTGCTCAGACAACTGTCTTGAATCCGCACCAGTACACATAATTAGATGATGGAGTCTATGGAATTCTGAGAGCCATATAATCTCACAGAATTAGTGAATTCTGTGGACAGTGGGATTGAGGCAGGGCGGGGTGGGGGAAGCGGCCATAAATATGTATACTAAATGTTAGGGTATGGATAGGGTGAGGGTGAAGGCGCAGAAGGAGAGGCAAGGAGAGACACAGCACCCCCAGAGCTGGCGTGCCAGAGGTGTGCGCTTATAACTCAGAGATCCGAGTAATGCAAAGAATTGCAACACACAAAGAAGTAAGAGAAGAAAAGATTTAAGATAATTCACTTCTCACAGACAGGGAGTGGACCTACACTCTAGATGAGTGCGGCCCCTTAGCCCCCTCGAGCCCTGGCTTAAATCCTTTTCCTTGGAGATGTTGCAGTCAGGTAGACGTGACTTCCTTATTGACCACCTGCAAATGTCTTAGAGAGCCTGTGACACAGAGATTCCCTAATGTCCACCCACATTATCACAGCCCCTAGAGAAAGGTGTGATTAGGATTTTCATGCTCCTGTACCTTCCCTAATGACATTTCTTAGAGCTATCTTCTAGGCATTCCCAGTGGGTAGCTTTGGGGGATCCTTGGCTTCCCTGTAGATAGTACCCAATTTACTGGAAGATCGAATTCCCATCTGCGCCCCCTCTGAGCAGTCATAACTTTTGCAATTACAAGTTTTGTGACTTCTGCAATCCTTGCCCAATGCATGATGTCTTAGACCTTGTAAATTCCCTTTATTCTAGGCAAGCTTGATTGCCACTATGAGATACCTCTGATACCTGGAAGTCTGTGTTTCTGAAAAGACATAGTTGTCAAGGTTAATTTTTTTCTAAAGTATATATTTCTCCAAAATATAACTTCTACTTTCTCATCATTGTATTAAGGTTTAGGAATAAGATAAAAAATGGCTTTCCACTCTTGGTCTGTCCTTTCACTAAAGCCATAAAAGCATACAAAAAATGACTAGTTTTGAGTGGTGTTACAATATGACAGTAATTTGTAAAATTTTCACCAGAGTAGCTAAAGGAAGCAACAGTGGTAGAGTCACTTAAATATTAGAACATCTGATATGTAGTCTCTGTTTCTAATAATTACTCAGCAAGATCTGTTTTCTGACTCTGCCACTCTTATTTTAACATTCAAGTCATGTCAACTACATGTAAAGTGTCTTTCGGTTTTCTATTCAGAGAATCCATGTTTGAAGTAAATGTTTATATTAGCTTTTAATTGCTGGAGCAATTAATTCTTTCACTGCAGAAAGCCTTCTGTACCAAAGAAGGCTAATATTCCTGTAACTACATGTGTACCTCTTGATTTAGTAATATTTTTTCCTTGATTGCATATAAAATATATAATTCATTTATTCTACATCTCAGAAAAAAATGCTTCCTATATAATTAGAGTGTTAAGAAAGTAATTCAATTGAAATATTCTATACTTTTAATCAAATACATACTATTTAATTATATTACGTATAGAATTGACTAACTCCACTGGCCTTTTCTGTATTTTTAATCATTTTGCAATTTCCCTTTAAAAACTAGTTTATCTTCTAATTTAGAACTTTGGGTCATTGAAAGACAAAATGGAGAGGACATAGAGAAATAAGTGAGGAAGACTGGGATCAAAAAAAGTATAATTAATTTGGGTGTTTTTGTTCCTGAACTTCCCTGTTACAATTTGTGGATTTTTTGAAATAGTAAATTAAACAAAAATGTGAATAGTCAATTCTATCACTTTCAAATCTGAGGAAATATTTTCAACTAACACAAAAGCATCTTGGTTTTATTTTTTATATTATATGATCCATGAGAATTTCGAGGGCCTACAATTATTTCAGAGATTTTATTTGGAAGCCATTTTATACATGAGCCATCTTTGTGTTAACTTCCAGCTGATCAGTGAATAGAATACAGTCAAAGTCGAACATCAGCCTGTCACAACTGCTTCATTTGCATGGTGGGAACCCTAATGCATGCTGGGATTCCTGACCCTAACCAGAAAGGAAGTCAACTCCACTGTGAAGACACCTCAAGCCACTGACTGGGTGCATATAGTACCCTTATTGCTGTCCTGCCTGCTATCAGTCTTCCTGGCAATATATTCAATAAACCTCTTTTTCTACTCTAATCTGACTTGGGTGAATTCTTTCACCACCTGTGACTACAGCCATCTGGTCACAACCTGCGACATTTTACACTAATAGAATTGTTCTTTGAAAGGTTTTTTTAAAAATCACTCATTCATAAACTCTTATTTTCACTTTATCTAATTCTTTTCAGTTTTGTAATTTGTTAAACACAAACATTAGACTTGCAAATTTAAAAATATTGGTGAAATAACCAGGATTTTTTAAATCTAGTAAGAAAGCAATTTATGAGAATATATAATTGATTAATTGGATATTTGTATGAACTTAAATCATCCTTCTTCTTCTTCTATTTTCCTAGCATTATAAAGATGAATCCTCAAGAGAATGATATGATCTTTGAAGTTATTGCTATTGTTGATCCACTCACAAGAGAAGCACAGAAGATGGCACAGTTGTTGGTTGTAAGATAATATAAATTAGACTAAATACTTTTGTTGAATTTTATAGTCTTTTCAAGTCTTTTTAAGTATAACCAAATATCTGTGCTCTTGATTCTTATTTCATAATAGATTGCCATATTTTAATGTAGAAAATGAAGTGGTATTACAACACTGTTGAGGTTAGGTGTTGCCATGGACTGAATTGTATTCCCCACAAAATTTGTATTTCAACATATGAAATGTGTTTCTGTGAGTTGTAGGTTCTAACCCCCAATGTAACTATATATGGAACAAGGATCTTAAGGAGGTCATTAAAGTTAAATTTGGTCATAATCCAACTGGTGGCCTTAGAAGAAGATGAAGAGAGAGACATCACACAAAGAAGAGATCATATGAGCACACAATGACATGGCAGCCACCTGCAAACCAGGAAGAGAGCTCTCCCCAGAAATGAAATTGACCAGCATCTTGATCTTGGAATTCCCCGCCTCCAGAACTATGAGGCAATATGTTTCTGTTGATCTTGGAATTCCCCACCTCCAGAACTATGAGGCAATACGTTTCTGTTGCTTAAGCCACCCAATCTGTGATATTTAGTTATGGTAGCCCAAACAGACTAATTCAGAGGTCTTTCTTGTGTTTTGAAGGATGGCTTTTGGAGAAGCTGAAGCTTAAGTTTAATTAGGTACAACTTAAAGTACAATAAGTAATGTTAGCCAACATTCAATAGGTTTGGCCACTTTAACAGACCTAAATAACAGTACCTTCAAACTGAAGTTTCTTTCTCTCATTTTACAGTTCAAGTATAAGCTGCCTGGGGTTGCTAAGGCAGGTACACTGTGGGGGACCCAGGTACTGTCTGTTGAGTTGTTGATCTATCATGAAGCACCTTGTTATTTAGAGGTCTAAGATCACTATTCAGGCTCTTAACATCATGTCTGTTTTTCTGCCAGCAGGAAGGGGAGAACAAGAGTACAACACCAAAGCTGGACATATTCTGTCCTGTTGCTTCTCACTGACCAGAATGTGGCCAGTCGTCTGGCTGCACTTAATGAAACTATGGCCAGAAGCCTGGAAACTCTTTCATGAGAGAGTAGGGGAATATGAAAAGTTAAAAGGCAGCTGTCAATTTCCAAAAGAACATTATGTGGCTTTCCATTTTACAGAAAATTTCAGAGGTTCAGATTATAATGCAGCTTTCAGTAGTTAAATTTGAATAAGCTAGTTACGTTAGAAAGCTGTATGTTTTTCTAATGATAGTCAAAATTGTGGAAACTATTTGTCCTTTGGCAGTTGAGTTTACTTTTGGAAACAGGTGAAAGTAATTAGATATCAAGTGTGGTAGAAATATGTTATCAAGCCATGTGATTCTGGTATATATTTTATCAAAATTTCAAAATGCAATTGTTATTAGAGTTTAGTGTGTATTACGAAATCATATTGGAAAAAGGATTATTAATATCTGCTATAAGCCAGGCTCGGTGGCTCAGCTTGTAAGCCCGCACTTTAGGAGGCTCAGGTGAGTAGATTGCCTGAGCCTGCGGGTTCGAGACCCACCTGGGCAACTTAGTGAGACCTCATCTCTACAATAAATCAAAAAATTAACTGGGCATGGTAGTGCGTGCCTGTAGTTCCAGCTACTTGGAAGGCTCAGGCGGAAGGATTGCCAGAGCCCAGCAGGTCGAGGCTGCAGTGGCCAGGAGCAGCCACTCCACTCCAGTCTGGGTGACAGAGTGAGACTCCAACTCAAAAAAAAAAAAAAAAAAAAAAAATCTGCTATAAGTGTATTTATTAATGGAGACAAATAATTTTGGAAAACTTTGTCATTCCTGCTGTTTAGCATATGAAATGCATAAGACAGACTTAATTCCTTAGCTGACTTAACCATTCTTTCTTCTATCATTTGTTATACCTTGGTTTTCTAATAGCTTTCATATCTTCACTATCTTGTAGCCCAAGTAAAGATGAGGATTATAAAAATTAATAATTCCTCCTCTATTTCTTATGCCCCAGGGAAATAAGACAAGAAAATAGAGTATTTTATTTGTATGTTAGTCAAGAACTTCCTACATCTCTTAAAATGTAGGATGAAATTCCAAAAGAACCAGGAAACCCTTACCAGTGTTATTATGAGGTCACTACTTTGTGTTTACAAATTTGTACTTTTTGAAATACCCTATTCAGATTATTCTTTAAAAACAGCAGTCAGTAATCATATCTGAAAGTAGAGCTAGTATGATGCTTTTTAGTGTACAAAGCTCCTATTTCTATGGAAAATTATTTTTTAAATGATTTAACTTTGAAAGTTTTTATGTAAAGGTAGAATTTAGCAGTAAGAAATATGGAACTATACAGAGTTACAAAATGTAGAACTGCATTCCAGTTTACATCTTTGGAAATAATAGAATACTTTATTTCTGAACAACTTTATTTCTTTCTTTGTAAAAGGCTAATTTATAGGAAGAAACAAGTAGTGTTTCATGTAATACTTAAGAAATACACTGGCTCAACAAAAAACAGCAATTCAATGACCTCCATAGTAGCAAATATGACAAGTAATAGAATGGGAATTAAAACTCAAATCTCAGCCGGGCTCAGTGGCTCAGCCTGTAATCCTGCGCCTTGGGAGGCTGAGGTGAGTGGATTGCCTGAGCCCGCGGGTTCGAGACCCACCTGGGCAAATTGGTGAGACCTCATCTCTAATAAATCAAAAAATTAGCCGGGCATGGTAGCGCGCGCCTGTAGTTCCAGCTACTTGGAAGGCTGAGGCGGAAGGCTCGCCGGAGCCCAGCAGGTGGAGGCTGCGGTGGCCGGGAGCGGCCACTGCACTCCAGTCTGGGCGACAGAGTGAGACTCCAACTCAAAAAAAACACAAAACTCAAATCTCTTAAATCCTTGGTCTATGTGTTCCTATTCCTCATGAAACCTGTATTCTTTCTGTTACGTGTATCTGTTTTATTGTTTCTCCCTTTACCTATATTCTTTGTTATCTAACAGCTTTCGAATCTTCACTAATTTTTTGCCTATGTGAAGATGATAAGAACTATCAAAATTCATAATTCTTCTCTCTTTCCTATGTTCCAGGGAAATAAAAAGACAAGAAAATAGAGTATTTTACTTGTATGTTAGTCAAGAATTTCCTGCATCTCTTTAAAATGTAGGATGAAATTTTAAAAGAACCGGGATGCCCTTGCTAGTATTGCTAATTATGAAGTCATGCCTTTGTATTTGCAGGTTGAGTTTCTAGTAACGGATTTACTTGTTCTTTGATACTAAGGAAATTTAGATACTATGAAAGAAAGTCACTTTAGGCAGAAGGCAGACAGCATAATTCTGAGGCATTGAAATAAACAACTTGGGTTCAAATCTTACGTCTGTCATGACTTACTGTGACCTTGGACAAATTACTTAATCTCTCTGTGTCTCTGCTGCCAAACTACTACCTCAGAAGGGCATTGTGAGGATCAAATGCAGTAGTGATTATAAAGTATTAGTGTAGTGTCTGATACATAGCAAATGTGTAATAAATGTTAACTATTGGTATTAATTTAATATCAAATATGGAAATTTTTTTTCTGATAGGTACTTGGCAAGATTATCAACATGAAGATAAAATTGTTCATGAACTGTAGGGATAAGCTTTCAGAAGCCCCTTTAGAGAGGTGAGTCTGAGTGAAAACATAATTTCATTTTGAAAAATTTGGAAATGCTAAGACAAAAAAAGGCCAATGTTACTGAGCCTGATTTTTTTTTTCTCGTCACAAGATGCTTCACAGAAATAAATTGTCAGACAGATTATAAATCTTAATTGATGTAAACTAGATATAAAATTAAAATAACCCAGCAACTGATCTAATCTTAGTTACAGATTTATGTGGATTCATATTTATTCATAGGTATTTTCAGAAATGTGATTTAGGAATATGTCAATGGGACATGAGGTTGAATTAAACCATTTTTGGTATATCTATGCATGCAATACTTATTCAGAACAGAATTATCAAAATAATCTTTAGTGTCACATTTACTATTTTGGGATATTAGGATGCAGTTAGTTTAGAATAATCTGTCAGTGATATTAAAAAAATGTTTATAATTATACATAAACAGTTCTCATTAGTAGTGTTCCATTAGAAAAACATTGTCTCTCTAGAGAGGAGAAAAATATACCCTTCCTCTTCTTTCTGGGTCAGAATTACTATCATTGTGAGCCACTCTTACTGATAGGAATGTTCGATATCCTTCACTTGTCATTGAGCAGAAAAAAGGGTATGCACCATTGTACTAGTATAGCTTTTTTTTTTTTGAGTTGGAGTCTCACTCTTGTCGCCCAGGCTGGAGTGCAGTGGCACACTCAAGGCCACTGCAGCCTCGACCTTGCTGGGCTTAGGCGGTCCTTCCACCTCAGCCTTCCAAATAGCTGGAACTACAGATGCATGCTATCACACCCGGCTTGTGTGTGTGTGTGTGTGTGTGTGTGTGTGTGTGTGTGTGTGTGTGTGTGTGTGAGATAGAGAGAGAGAGAGAGAGAGAGGGAGTGATTTACTGTAGAGACGAGGTCTCACCAAGTTGTTCAGGCTGTTCTTGAACTCCCGGGCTCAGGCAATCCTCTCACCTTGGCCTCCCGAAATGCTGGGATTACAGGTTGAGCCTAGTGTAGCTTTTTAATGCTTGGTAATATATTTTTCTCTGTATAATTATGTAACTCTAAACAGAACATATATTAATACACCTACAAGACAAAAGTAGCATTCAGTTAATTTCTTGTTTACTTTTCAAATTGTATTTGTTAAAATTGACATACTATAGTTATCGCTTTGAGCAGATATTTAAACATGATAGGTATTTTTAATATTTGGAAAGTAATAAAATGGAAAATGTGGAAATTTTAAATGAAGATTTAAGACATATTCATTGCCCCCCAAGACTCTTGTCTGTATATTTTACTCAATTTTCACACTTATCTTTTGCATTTCAAATTTTGTCGCATGCCTTTGTAAATCTGAACAAAAACTTTAAAAGCTAGGCATATTGAATATATATGCAAGCATAATCTACTGGGAAGAAAATAGTTGCGTTCTCTGGCAAAATAACACTTAATGTACTAAATAGAATGTACAATCAAGGTATCATTTTTTAAACAAGTAATTCAACAGAATCTTATTTATATAGTAGCATTATATCAAGTAAGCTAGCTTACATGTTTATTCCCAGTCCTTTCCTTTCAGTAAACATATTCTTCTCAGAAATAAGAGTAATTATGGGCAGGAATTCCCTCAACTTCCTACTTTCTTTCCTCTGCCTCCCCAACCTTTCTGTGTTACAAGAGAAGAATGAGGTGTCTTTCCCCTTTTTAGGTGAATAGTCCCTCTCTGTTTTGATCTCATGCTTTCCCATTTGTTCTGGATCCTTGCTTTATCACATGTTCTCTCTGTTCCATGTGTTTAACCTCTCTATTATCCTTTTCCTTTCAGTCCTTAAAGTTATTCAGTTGTCTTTTTTTTTTTTGAAAGGTTTTTCCCTTAGCTTCCTCTCCTCCAGAGTCCTGACTTTTTTCCTCTTCTTTACTCCTTCTTATCTAAGCTTCTTTAGAGTGGTCATACTCTGTCTTCATCTTTCATTCACTGTACCTTTTACTGCAGTTTCACTTTAATTTTGTCTTTGCCACTGAAATTGTTTTTACTAAATCTCAAATAAATTGCTGTTTGCAACAACCATGGGATATTTCTGTCTTGACATTTCTGCTGCATTTGATGGTACCAAGTACTTGTTTTGTACATTTACTTCATGACTGTTCACTCCTGTGTCTTCTTACATCTCTTTTTGTTTGTTCTTATTGCCTGCATGACATGGCTTTCGGTGATCACTACCCCATGGGATTCACACTCTAAGTTCTTTTGGAGTGATGTCTGGACCTAGTGACTTGCTTTTCTTTTTTTTTGAGTTGGTTTCTCACTTTGTCACCCAGACTGGAGTACAGTGACTCACTCCCAGCCACCGCAGCCTCGACCTGCTGGGCTCTGGCGATACTTCCGCCTCAGCCTTCCAAGTAGCTGGAACTACAGGCATGTGCTACCACATCCGGCTAATTTTTTTGATTTATTGTAGAGATGAGGTCTCACCAAGTTGCCCAGGCAGGTCTTGAACCCGCGGGCTCGGTCCATCCACTCACCTCAGCCTCCCAAAGCACGGGATTACAGGCTGAGACACCGAGCCCAGCATGACTTGCTTTTCATGAACAAAATGTGGCAAAACGATGAAATTGCTCTTCTGCAGTTAGGTTTTACAAGACTGTGACTGTTGTCTTGCCAGCATTCTCTCTCTGGCTCTTCTGTGTGCTTCTCTGATGAAGCATGCTAGAGATGCCCTTGCGGGAAGCAACTGAGGGTATCTCCAGCCAGTCCCTAGGAGGAACTGTAGCCCTCACTCAGACAGCCCTTGTTGAACTGGGTGAACCTGAAAGTAGATCCCATCCCTTATTGAATCTTGAGAGAATAACAGCACAGCTGACATCTCGATTGCTGTCTCAAAAGAGCAAAAGTCACTATTCTCAATAACGTGACTAATTCTTATTATGCATGATATTGAGGGATAAGGGCAAGATACAGTAAAACTGCAGATAAGCCTCAAAGCTGCTTTCAACTTAATCCTGTTTGTTTTAAATAACCTTTTTAAAATCGGTACTAGAATTTCAACTTGAACTTCACTTGTTTTCGGGCTGTCATTTATCTTCATATTATTAGTGGTGGTAAGAGTTAATGAAATACCTGACAAATAGGCCATGGTAAGATTTTGAAGACGAATGCATACAAGTCATAGTACAATTCATATCATAAACTGCTAGAACCTGCACATAAGTCAGGTGTATCTTAGAGGGATTCTAATCATGTTCATTCAGGAATAATTAACAAAAGTATATGGTATATATAGCTTCATAATAGATAATAGTGTCAACCAAATAAAAATTGCCTATTATTTACAAGCTTTAGAATGTGTGTTTAGTCCTTTGTGTTTCTTGTCATTAAGCCATTTTCAGTTTTAAAATATTTTAGAAGAAATAATAATCTCAGTTTTGGTCACAGTCTATATTTTTGTGTTTTATCAACAGCTTTTACCGTTTTGTTCTGGAACCAGAACTGATATTAGGGGCTAATGATATGTCTTCTCTTGGACCAGTGGCAAAATTCTTGGATATTCCTGAATCACCCCTCCTAACCCTCAACATGATTACTCCAGAAGGCTGGTTGGTTGAAATAGTACACAGCAACTGTGATCTTGATAATATTCACTTAAAGGATGTAAGTTATTGTGTATGGTCATATAAAGAGAAGCAGCATAAATTCTTATCAGTTGCAGCAAGCATACATCATACTTTGGATGCTTTCCAGAATTTGCTTTTTAACTCTAGTTCCTGATTTCATCTTTCCTTTGATTTTTAAGTTTTCCTAATTTTCCAATTCAGCTTCTCTGTTTTTCCAAGTCCCTAGATGCCTTTATCATTTATATTACCCCAGGCGGCTAGCTTACAAAGACTTTAAGATGAGCAATGCAGAAAATATGGAGACGGACACATGGCAAGTTAGGATGACATCCTTAAATACCTACTTTGCCCTTCAAGTTTAGTTTTTAACTTAGGAAGTTACATCTAAATTTTTATTTTTATTTTTTTGCCTCACAGCTCATAACCAGAGAAAGCAGTTCTGACTAGATTACAAAATTTGCTGGTATACTGCAGGCTGGGTATACCTGCTGCCCATCACCTCCAACATGACCTTTGTTTAGTGAGTCAGACTTTTCTTCCTCACCTGTTATATTGAATACGGAATGAGAAAAGGAATGCAGAAACCACACACACACACACACACACACACACACACACACACACGCACACGCACACACGCATTTTAGGAGAGTTTACCTAGATTGGTATCCAAAAACTGAGGAGAAAATAATTCCTTCTCCTTATTGTCCTCCCTCTGACCTATTTCCAATTCATCATGTTTGACTTTGAATATAGCCATTGCCTGAACTTAAGCAAAAACATTTATCTGTAATAGTATGGTTAAAATCGTTCATAATATTTGTTTCTCGTGCGTTACTTTTTGTCTAAAAATTGTCCTTCTGGGCAAATTCCTTTTGCTCCACTGTGTAGATTTTGTGGAATTCTAAATCACTTCCCTGTAATATAGTCACCATTACCCTGACTTGACCCTCCCACAAAATAACCTAAAAGTCATAACTGTCATCTGAAATCAGTCCTTCAAAATCAGGGAAAGAATAGGAAGGCAGCAAAATGATGCAATATATGAGGAAAAGTTCAACAATAAACTTGGCAAGACATAGAGAAAAACTCCCATGTTTTCTCCATGACCAGTTAGATCTCTTAACAGAATCTATGGTTTCTTCATGAAGAGAGTACGGCAATATAAATCGATAACTTTAGAGACTCTAGCCAAAAGCATGAAAAATTTGTAATGGTAGAATTAGTACAACTTAGAAAAGATTTTAAATTGAGTCTGCTGGTGAAAATGTTCTGCAGCTATTAAACAGTTAATAGAGATTAATTATACTTTTTTGGTAGTAAGTAGCAAATCTAATGGTATCTTTTTAGAAGCTGTACAAATGAACAGTAACGGATTCTAAAGTCAGAACACTAAAAAGGAAATGATTTCCTTTGTCTTCATAGGTTAGGTGAATAAACAGAAGGAAATTATGAATTCTAGCATGTGTAAAAGTCCGCTACCTCTCAGGCTCCTTTTTCCCATTTGTGCTGTAGATACTTATAATATTATCTGTAACCATCTTAGAAAAAGATAAAAAAGGCATTTGCTACAGTACAGAGGAGTTTTAAGTAAAGGGAAAAAGTGCACTCTAGCAAAAATGAGACTAATAATGAGAGATTTCCCACTATACACTAACTTTTGCATATGCTCCTAGGTACATCTAATTCCTGAACGTCACATAAACACCTGGAAAAAAAAACTTAATCTAGAAAAATTCTTCCTTAGTGTAGGACTCTGTTCACATAATTGTAACTACAAAGACTCTATTGCACAACCAGCACTAATGCTATAACTAAAGGTGACAAAAGTGGTTATAGGAGAGCCAAAAGTGAGACAGTTACTTTTACCTGGGCTTCAGATGTTGCTCTTCTCAAAGCTTACTGTTAGAACTGTGTCTAATGACTGTCTGATTATATTTTATCATAGCATATATCTGAAAGATATAAAAATACCTGACACAATGGTGATGGTTGTATTTACCCAGTAGAGAGAAATAAATAAAAGATTGCTAACAGGGGCCAGGTGCAGTGGCTCACACCTGTATTCCCAGCACTTTGAGAGGCCAAGGTGGGAGAATTGCTTGAGTTCCAGTTTGAGACCAGCGTGGGCAACATAGTGAGACCTCATCTCTACAAAAAAAAATTCTAAAATTAGCTGGGTGTAGCAGTGTACACCTGTGGTTCCAGCTACTCAGAAAGTTGAATTGGAAGGATCACTTGAGCCCAGAAGTTGGAGGCTGCGGTGAGCCAGGATTGTGCCTCTGCACTTCAGACTGGGCAACAGAGTGAGACTCTGGGGGAAAAAAAAAGAAAAGATTGCTAACAGGAAACAGGATATGGCTATGTTAAAATAGATTCACAGAAAAATGTATTAGTCCCCTCTGAAATATAAAAAATTTTGACATCAGTTTTATCAATGACACATTCATCACCAATATAATTGTCAAGAAATCCCTTTTTAATTGCCAGAGATATTATAGAGACCCTAAACACTATATTATTAATGAAGAAAATTAGACAAACACACAGTTTATCTTAGCTTCAGTTTATTCTCCCAGTGCATAATATATAAAATTTCTATTTCAAACCATCAAATACTTACAAAATGGAGGGAAAGATAGCATATGTAGTGGAGCATTTTATCCCCTCTACAAAACTTAGCAGTTTAACCTAAAACTTAACAAACTTATATGTCAGAAAATTTACACTACAGAAGTCCCCCCTTATTCACAGAGGAAATGTTCTAAGACCTTCAGTGGATGCCTGAAACTGTGGATAGTACTGAACCCTATGTACAAATCTTTTTTCCTGTGCATACATGTCTGTAGTAAAGTTTAATTTATAAATTTGATATAGTAAGAGGTTAACAATAATAACTAATAATAAAACGGAATAATTATAACAGTATGCCAGCATCACTACTTTTGCACTTTGGGGCAACTATTAAGTGAAATAAAAGTTCCTTGAACACAAGCACTGCAATACCACAAAGTGGTTTTGGTAACCAAGTTGGTTAATAAGTGACTCACAGGCAGGGAGTGTATACAGTATGAAGACCCTGGACAAAAGGATGATTCACATCCTGAGTGGGATGGAGCAGGATAGTGTGAGATTTCATCACAGTACACAAAACAGTGTTAGTTTAAATCTTAAGAATTGTTCGTTTCTGGAATTTTTTATTTAATATTTTTGGACCACAGGTGATAATGGATAACTGAAACCTCAGAAAGAGAAACACCCTAAACATACTAAACAATAGTGTAGAAAACCTACATTGTGAAATAAAATTTGGTATAGATAGCATCACTGTCTTTAATTATATCTCTTTTTTTTGTTGTTTAAGAAAGCAAAATTTATTGAGAGGACAGAAAAACTCCCACAGTGGGACCCAAGGGGGTTGCCCTTTAATTATATCTTTAATTAATTAATGTACTCAGCAAAATTCCCAGACTTTGTGAAAATCACTTACTGTTTGATTTCCTTTTTTTTGAGTCAGAGTTTGATTCTGTCACCCAGGCAGGTGTACAATGGCCGGATCATGGCCACCACAGCCTTCACCTGCTGTGCTCAGATTAGCCTTCCATCTCACCCTTCCAAGTAGCTGAAACTACAGGCGTGTGCCACCACACTCAGCTGATTTTTTTATTTATCGTAGAGACAAAGTCTCACCAAGTTGCCCAGGCTGGTCTCAAATCCCTGGGCACAGGCAATCCTTTTGCCTCCACCTCCCAATGTGCTGGGATTACAGGCATAAGCCACCATGCCCAGCTGATTTATTTTCATATTTGGTTATAGTGCTCATAGAGGTAGAGGAAAAGTTTTATTCTTAAAATATTTATTATAACATTTGCAGTAGAGAAAAATCTGGAAGCAGTTGGAACATCCAGCCATTTTTTAAAATGCTTATATGGCCGGACTTGGTGGCTCAGCCTGTAATCCCAGCACTTTGGGAGGCTGAGGCAAGTGGAGTGCCTGAGCCCGCAGGTTCGAGACCCACCCGGGCAACTTGGCAAGACCTCGTTTCTACAATACATCAAAAAGAGCCAGGCATGGTAGCATGCGCCTGTAGTTCCGGCTACTTGGAAGGCTGAGGCGGAAGGATCGCTGGAGCCCAGCAGGTTGAGGTTGCGGTGGCTAGGAGCACGTCACTGCACTCCAGTCTGGGCGACAGAGTGAGAGTCCAACTCAAAAAAAAAAAAAAATGCTTATAGATACAGAGATATGTTCTTAGAAAATTACATATAATAAACTAGCAGGTTATACTTTCTTAGAAAATTTATGAAAACAAGAACTGGAAATCAATATGTTGATAGTTATATAAATGTTTATTCTCTAGGTGCTTCCTCTTTCCACTCTGGAAGTGAAACGATTAATTTTTAACATTAATTTTAAAAACTAATTTTAGATTAATTTTATAACCAATCTAATTAATTATGGGCATTAATTTTTTGAATTGCAAGAAAGCCAATATGATAACCTGTTCAGGGCAACAGCAAACTGAAGCAGACTATTTAAGGAATTTCCCATCTAATCTGTCTTAAAGGGATCTTCTAAATAGTGTAAGTTACGTAGCACCCATCCGTGCTCAAATCTTTCCTGCTTGGTTATACTGGTACACAGCATGACGCTGGAGTAGAGCCAATGATATGAGAGAGAAAAAAATTTATCCTGAGCTTTGGTCTTGTATAAATCAATTTAACTCCTAAGTTCACTCATGCATAAAAGAAAGACTTGAAGTTACCCACCAAAATATGTTGGCTAATATTAAAATAATCACATTTATTTATTACAAAATTTGTATTAATGAGGATTTCTTTTTTTTTCCCCCAATGAGGATGTCTAATACCAAAAATAATGACGTTTCCTCCACAGATTGAGAAAACTGTTACAGCAGAATATGAACTAGAATATCTACTACTCGAAGGACATTGTTTTGATACAAGGACAGAACAACCTCCTCGGGGTCTGCAGTTTACACTAGGCACAAAAAATAAACCTGTTATGTTTGATACAATAGTGATGGTCAATCTTGTAAGTTATTTAATGGACCTTATTTAACCAGACATTTTGGTAAAATTTTCTAAGTTTTCCCAATAGTAAAATGAATTGATTCCTTGAGAAAGATAACTAAATTGTCTAAAAATGGGGGAAACCATACTTTCATAATACACTTTTATAGGTTATTGTAAAATCTCTTTACTTGCAATTGATTTATAGAATTTGTTCATTTCACAGTAAATTTTTTTTTAGATAATTCATATAGTCTTACATGAACAGTTGGATATGTTTTTAGTCTTATAACTCAATGATTGTTTTTTTTCTTATCTTACAAGGGATATTTTCAATTAAAAGCAAACCCAGGAACTTGGATATTAAAGTTACGCCAAGGAAGATCTGAAGATATTTATCAAATAGTTGGGTGAGTTATACAGCTTCTTTAAAATTTTTACATGTGAGTATGTTTTTAGTGTCATATAACCAAGATTAAGATTATCAAAACAACAACTAAAATGTTAAGACTTGATTAGATCCAGATATCAGCAAAATAGAAGAATAGGACTTTTCAGTGCACATCTCCCTGAGGAAACATCAATTTGAACAGTTATCTGTGCATAAAAATGCCATAAGAAGAACTAAGGAAAGCAAGAGAGATATTGCAACACCACAGTGTAGCTCAGAAATAAGAAAAGACATATTGAAGAGGGTCAAGAGGACAGTTTTACATTACTTACAGCACTCCTCCCTCAATCTGAGACAGCACAGTCTGGAGAGAGATGCCCTTCGCTTTGGGAATGGAGAGGGTAGTGAGTACCAGACTCTCTCTGGGACCCCAAAATCATGCTCATTGCTGTAAAACCAGGCAGGTCCCCACAAAGCCCTGACTTTATACCAGTACCTGAAGACTGACATGCCAGATCACTTACTCCCAGGCTTCAGATGTGCCTGGTAGACTCAGTCTCTGAGCCTGTCCCACCTCCAGGCCTTCCCTGGCAGCCTGAGGATCCTGGCCAGCCTCAGGCTGGGCCAGCCCCCACAGATTCAGGCTTTTAGATTTTTCCATGCACTAGCATAATTCATATTTTTGTTGTTTAATGATAATATAATGTGCATTATATCTTATGTTATAAGGCCATTATCCCTGGGTTATGTTCAATTTGGAATTTTTTTTTTTTTGCAAAAATTTTCCTGTTCACCAGTGAATCGTAGTAGAAAGCAGGGATCATCACACTTTTCTTTTGTAACGAGCCAAGAGTAAATACTTAATGCTTGTTAGGGGCACAAACAGTGGATCTTTGTCAATTTATTTGTCTAACTTTTTTAACGTAAAAATAATTTTTAGCTCAGGGGCCATACAAAAATAGGCCACCAACCTGATTTGGCTCACTGGCCATAGTTTGCTAACCCCTGGTAAAATCTTCTTTATATCCTTAATAAATACCTCTAGATTTCATTTATCTCAATAAAGGCTTATTGAACACATCTTATTTATTTTATTTTATTTTAGTTAGATATGGAGTACAATTCAAGATTAGGTGGATAAGTGGTCATTATACAGGTAAAGTTTGGGCCTCCCTTTGGTCCCTGCTTTGACTGGTTTGAGATCAGGTACCCATATTGATGTTATGTTACCTACCTTCCACCCCTGGCAGTGTCCCACTACTGCCAAACTTTTTATTATAGTGTTATGATAAATGTTCAGGGTCTGCTTATAAGTGAGAACATGTGGCACTTAGTTTTTTGTTTCTGTGATAGATCACTGAGTATAGACAGTATACCACACATTGTGCTCAACAAAAATAATATAGGCATAGGTGTTATTATATATATATTTCTACCACTTTTTCCCCTTAATACTGTGCCTAGTTCATAGTGTCAGTCCATAAATAATGCTTAATGATTTATACACACCGAGCTGGTACTTGGGTAAAGGGAAGTTAGTGCTGACATTAGAGATGAGATAGTACCTCAAGAGAGTTTTGAAGAACCAGTAGGAAGTTATTAGTCATAGTACAGACAAAATTCCAGGAAGAAGGTAGATATACAAATTTCACATCTAAAACTCTTAATGACACATGTATTTTAGAGTTTAGGACTTTTGAGTTTGGGAAAGTTAATATAGTATGTGTATCATATATTATGCATATCCCAGCAGGATCTGAGAAAACCCTTCATTAAACATCATTTCTGTTGGATATGTGGATATTCACACTGAAAGGGTGTATATAAATGACTGTAGAAGAGAGTGACAGACAAGCCACAGCATATATCAGACAGATAATTTATCTATAGAATACAGAAAGAACTATCCAACTCAATTTTTAAAAAACTAATAAAAAATATTCAAAAGACTTGAATAGACACTTTACCAAAGAAGATATAAGGACAGCAAATAAGTACATAAAAATGTGCTTAACATTGGTTAGTAATTAGGAAAGTGCACGTTAAAACCACAGTGAGGTATTCCTCATACCTATTTAAATGGCTAACATTATATAAAGACTGACAGTACAGTGTTGGTGAGGATATGGAGTAACAGGTGCTGTCATTCACTTACATTGTATATGTAGAGTTGTACAAGCACTTTGGAACAGTTTTATAGGTTCTTAAAACTTTAAATTTGTACCTACCATATGATGCAGGCATTTCACTCATAGATATTTACCCAAGAGAAAAGGAAATATATATTCAATCAAAAACTTGTACTTTACTGTTTGTAGCAGCTTTGTTTTTAATTGTCAAAAATTGGAAACAACCCAAGTGTCAAGAGATGAAGGAAAAAATAAAAGTAGTATATCTGTACAATGGAGCACTACTGAGCTATGAAAAAGAATGAGCTATTAATACACATGTGACATTGATGAGTATTTCTTTTTTAATTTTAAAGATGTGGGGTACAATTCAGGGTTAGGTATACAAATGTTCATTATGCAGGTACCCTTGTTGATGAGGTGCCCCTTCCTCCCCTGGCAGTTTCCCTCAACTGCCAATCCCACCCCCTTCCCCTGGAAGTTTCCCACTACTGCTAATCCCTTTCTTATAGTATTATGTTAATTGTTCAAGGTCCACTTATGAGAGATGAATCCCAAAATAATTATGCTGAGTTAAAGAAAAGTAAATAAAGAGTACAGTATTTCCCCCCTTTTTGAAATTTTGCTTTCCATGGTTTCAGTAACTCATGGTTAACTACAGTCCAGAAATATTAAGAGGAATATTTCAGAAATAAATGATTGATAAGTTTTATATTATGTACTGTTCTGACTAGTGTGATGAAATCTTACACTGCCTCACTCCATCCTACCCAGGACCCAAATCATTCCTTGGTCCAGTATCTTTACACTGTGTATGTGTTACCTACCCATGAGTCACTTGCCCTTACTTTACTTAATAATGAACCTAAAGTGCAAGAGTTCTGTGCCTAATTTATAAATTAAACTTTATCACAGATATGTAAGTATAGGAAAAAACTTAGTACATAGAGGGTTTGGAACTATCCGTGGTTTCAGGCATCTACTGGGGGTGTCTCAGACCCTATCCCCTGTGGATAAGGTGGGGAAGACTGCTGTACCTACTGTGTTTGCTTTTATAAGTTATTAAATGACTGGGCGCAGTGGGAGGTCAAGGCGAGAGGATTGCCTGAGCCCAGGTTTGAGACCAGCCAGCGCAACTTGGTGAGAACTCATCTGTACAGTAAATCAAAAAATTAGCCGGTCGAGGTAGCACATGCCTGTAGTTCCAGCTACTTGGAAGGCTGAGGTAGAAGGGTCACCTGAGGCCAGCAGGTCACAGCTGCGGTGGCCACAAGTGTGCCAGTGCACTCCAGCCTGGGTGACAGAGTGAAACTCCAACTCAAAGAACAAAAAACAAAACAATAAGTTATAAAACACTACATACAGTAACCATATTTAAAATTGGCAAAGGGCATTAATAAACACTTCTCAAAAGAAGGCTTACAAGCAGCCAACAAACATGAAAAAATGCTCAACATCACTAATCATACAAGAAATGCAAATTAAATCCACAATGAAATGTGTGTCAGAATGGCTATTATAAGTCAAAGAACAACAGATGTTGGCACAGTTGTGAAGAAAAGAGAATGCTCCTTTACTGTTGGTGGGACTGTAAACTAGTTCAGCTTCTATGGAAAACAGTATGGAGATTTCTTAAAGAACCAAAAATTGAATTACCACTTGACCCAGTAATCCCACTGCTGGGGATCTACCCAAAGAAAAACAAATCAATATATAAAAAGATTACTTGTACTTGTGTGTTCATTGCAGCACTGTTCACAACAGCAAAATCATGGAGCCAACCTAAGTGCCCACCAACAATGAACTGGATAAAGAATATGTGGTATATATACATCATGGAATACTATGCAGTCATAAAAAAAAGAATGAAATCATGCCCTTTGCAGCAACATAGTTGGAGCTGGAGATCATCATCCTAAGTGAACTGACTCAGAAACAGGAAGCTAAATACCACATGTTCTCACTCACGTATGGGAACTAAATGGACACAAAGATGGAAAAGAGACATTGGGGCAACAGTAAGTGGGGAGGTAGGGAGGAAGTCACAGTTCAGAAACTACCTATGGGACACAATGTTCACTATATGGGGAATGGGCTACCTGAGACCCAGTCCCCACCACTATACAATATGTCCATGTAACAGATATGCGTGTATACCCCCGGATCTAAAATTTTGTTTAAAAAACCCTAAATATAAACTATACTGACAGAAATAACTGAGAGGTAGGGTAGACGGGTAAAAGTAAAAAGTGTTGGAAATAATCAGTTGAACAACCGTTTTGAGAGTCTCCAGCTAAATTGCATTCCAGTACCAGGGTGACTAGCAACCTGCCCTAGTAAGAAATGAACGGACATGGGTGTTTGTAGTGTGCCCTTAACAGGTTACATCTTTTATCTGGCAGAAAGCCTAATGTATAGTTGCCCGACTTCTGACTAGAGTTCCCTCACACAGGAAGGAAACTTTTTAATATTTGCAGACACCCTTTGGCTCTTGTCTGACCCATGTCTAGTTTATGCCTTCCTTACCACCACTCTGATGCTGGCAACCCATCCTTGTGTTCCCCTGAGTGTCCCAGAGAAAACCTAGTATGCAATATCCCCTGGTTCTTCCAGCAGATAGTACAAATTCAATATATCACCACAATAGGAAATAAGTTTAAAGACTGTAATACTTAACAGGTCCTGGACAGGGAGGGCACAGAGAGAGAGGGTAGCAACTGGCAGTGTATATAAGGGAATAGGGTGTAGGTCACTTTAGGTTTGGGGGCAAATAGATGAATGGTCTTTTAAAAGGAAGCCAGAAAAGTGAGCAGTCTTGTTAGTCAGGAAAGATGCCTCTAAGTTCTTATCTCTGGGTTCTGGTTTGACTCAGTTGACTGTTGTGTTCTAA